TATGTTAAAATTTTATCCTGCGCCCAAAAGAATAACGTTTTATTTTTATTTTTTTGTTATCTTGAATATAGACTTGTAACTTTATTTTAAGACTGCCCTGATTTTTTATTATTTTTTATTCTTAGTTACTTTTCTGGGCATACTTTCTTTGACATTCTCCAGGCTTAGGACAGTCTGCACCGAAGTGTAGATCATGAATGCTGCATGTGCTTCTTGATACATTCAAGCAAAATTTCATCAGTGCAACTTTTCTTTTATCATCCAAGGAACATCCAATCACCACACAGAAATCAAACCTCTGCCTATATTATAAATGGCAACATCCAGTTTTTAGATTTTCTGCACCAACGAAGCTTTGCTTGAACTCATGGAGAAGTCCACAGCAATCATATTAACATAGCAGAATAAACTCCTTATATATTCTGATTTCAGTGTCTGGAATGGTAAAGTTAATGAAGCTCTGATTAATAAGCACTGTTGAAAACAGAGAAAAGTGGAATAAGAAGAGAATGATTCACAGTTCACATAGTAATTTTGCCAGTCTGATAATCAGTCTCACTTGTTTCTTCTTGGAAATATTTCCAACGCCATGTTTACACCAAGACATTGCACGTTTCTGATTTAGCTAGGATAAGATTAGTTATATTGTAGCATTCATTTGATTAAAAGCAGGCGAATAGGCCCTTCAGAAAACAATCTTGTGATCTGACAAAAGTCACTCTATCAAAAATAATTAAGTTGTAGGATAGGTTCAGAGTGTACCAAGGAAAACAGCCTCTGCAACATGTTAGTAAACTTCACATGAAAATGTGCCTCATTAATGGGCTGGAAATTGAACATCCTCTGGGTCTGAAACGCTGCAATGTAAATATCATGTTACTCAGCACAATGTTTTCATTTACATATCATCAGAATCTGGGCCCTCGAATCACATTCCTTATATTTTTTTAAAATGTAATAAGATTGCAAGAAGAAACAGAGAGGGAGGGAGGGAGGGAGAGGGAAAGGGAGAAAGAGAATGTAAGTATTTGAAGCATGATGCTTACTTACCAAAGGCAAAAAGGGGAAATTCTGTTCATTTAAAAGAATTCTACTATCCTTGGTTTTAGAGGCAGCACTGGAAAATTAGTAGTGTAGATTTTAGTGGATAAAAAAAAATTAGTGATGCAGCTCATGTCCACATATTCCCACTTCCTCTCAGATCAAAAGACTATGTAAAACATTGTTTCCTATGTCATTCAAAGGAGAAAATTATGATGTCAGCTATCCTTCTAAAATGGAAAACCAAAAGTTACAACACAAACTGCTTCCTCCCCTCAGGACACTGCTATAGGGCATGGCATGCCAAAACAACTAGAAACAAGGATAGTTTTTTCCCTCGTGCCATCACTCTACTGAACACCTAATTTTCACGATATTATTTATATCAAAGTACATTTACCCATATGGCAGAAGTATTATTATTACCCTTATCTCCTTTACTATCTCCTCTTATTGGTATTATGATTATTATGACTCTGTTGCTTTGCATGCACACTGAGAGCTTCTGCACTAGAGACAAATTATTTGTGTGACTAATCACACTTGCTCAAATAAGCTATTCTATTCTATTCTATTCTATTCTATTCTATTCTATTCTATTCTATTC